GTAAAAATTTCATTTCGATCGGCCTTACCATCTTCGAGATCTAGAAATGGTCAAAAAAGAGGGGGTACCCTGAATTTATTCATAATCGTCAATAAAATCTAACTTATCATGCATATCAATCAGGCCTTCTTTGTTCTGGATTTAATTGAAATGATTAATCAATTTATTGGATGGCTTATATTTAAATTTATCCAAAAATACTATCAATACATTAAATTTCTTTAACAGAAACTAAAATTGATTTCTTATCATCGAATTTCGATTAATATAAACATTATCAACAATATGTTTCATTTTAAATTCTTTGAAACAAAATCAAATTCTGATTTATTTATTGATTTTCATTTCATAGAGTATTCAGATTAATATCTAGTCTTAAATTTATAGACTTTTGAAAATCGTTTTAATCTTATCCTATGTCAATTAGTATATAGTTTTGAAAACTTACCAATCTGTAATACTGAAACGAACTGTACCGAAACTCGATGAATGCGAATTTTCTCAAGTTCGAGAAATAACAAAAATGAAAAATACAGTATAAAATGCTCCGATTGAGTAAATTTTTTCACATAAAAATGCACCAATGTCAATCAAAATTTTTCATGTTAGCATACTCGTATCACGTTTTTGAGCTGCATTCGACTCATTAGTTTTTTTTGATATCATCAATACGACTAGTACTAAATGTTTATAAAATTGAAAGAATACGAAAAATTATTTCGTAATTACTAAACAAATAAGAATTCATCTTGCAATAGATACATGTACTTAAAAAACAAAGACTTTTCTTCAAATCTTCATCAATATTATGAAAAACAATAGACTTAATTTTTAAAGTAAAATTGTATATTCAACTATTACACCAATAGTGCATAAATTTTGTTTCTTATTTCTTCATGAAAGAGACAAAAAAAAAAAAAAAAAAAATCTTGTCACCAATCACGCATGTCATTTTTATGTTTTTTAATGTTTGTCTCATCTTGATCGAATGGGAATACGTGCATGACAACGACAAGCATCTCTAGTTCTGCCATTTATCGAACAGCTGTCGCATATAGAAGAAGAAAAAAAGAAAAAGAAAGAAGACAAATTTGCTTTTTTGAAATTTGAGAACAGACAAGTCATGCCTCTTTTTAAAATATGTGTGTGAAAAAAAGAGAGAATGTCGTCGTATGTGCATATATGTTCTCAGAAAATGATGCCATCATGAACCTTACACTACCACTGACTCGATCATGATAGACAAGAACCTGTTCTTTATGTATATATATATATATATGTGTACACATAGAACGCAGCTGTTTACTGTCAATTATCTTTGTATATAGCCTGTGCACATAGATATCAAGGAAATCACTAGGGAGAAAAAGAAATATATAGAAATAGTGGCATATATATATAATCGTAGTAGATGCATCCACTTGTTCTTTTACTTCTTATATCGAACAGAAAAATATAGAACACAATGATTTATCAACATCCAAAAAAAAAAATAAAAAGACAAGAAAGAAGAAATTTCTTTTTCTTCTTCTTCTTCTTTTTTTTACGCTCTCTCAACACGGATTGGTTCACATTTGTCACTCAGTAGATTTTTGTCGCCTATCGTTCAACATCTATTCTTCATAATTTTCTCGTTAGAAGAAGAAGAAAAAGAAAATTGACGTGTCAAACAACAAATATATATTATCGAATCGAAACAAGAGAAAAAAAAACAGTTGAGTATGTGTGTTTTTGTTGTAATACGATTAAAACTTGATCTTCTTTCTATTGGATACGATTATACCCACCCTAGTCAAGGATTAGTCTATACTATTTCAAGTTCGTTTTATTGAAAATTGCTTTTTCTGTCTGCATTTGATTTGAAATTGTAAACCAGCAAAGCAAGTGAGCGAACACAAGAAAGATACACTCATAGCAAGAGCAAGAGAGAGAGAGAAGGAGTTAATCATTTGTTCTTTCTCTTTATCATGCATCGTCTCTTCAATCAATCGATCGATTGATGTCTGCTGTTACTATTAACAAAAAAGAAACAAAATCTTCTTTTTTTTCTCTCTAGTTCTTTTTACTAATGCTTGAAAGCAATCCGATACCAACAACAACGATTGGTGGTGGTTTCACTAACATCAATACACCATCAACAAGCAATATAATAGGTAATATTTTTACACCCGAACAAGTTGCTTGTGTTTGTGAAGTACTTCAACAAAGTAATGATATTCAACGGCTCGGTAAGATTTTAATAAAAAATTTCATAAGAAAACATTTTGTTTTTCTTTTCTTTTCTCTCTCTCTCTCTATGATGTAGGTGATTTTTTATGGACATTACCAACATTTGAACATTTTCATAATCATGAAAGTGTTGTCAAAGCTAAAGCAGTTGTAGCATTTCGTCGTGGAAATTATCGTGAACTATATAATATACTTGAACGTTATCAATTTGCACCATGTAGTCATCCACAATTACAACAATTATGGTTACAAGCACATTATAATGAAGCTGAAAAATTACGTGGTAGACCATTAGGTGCTGTTGGAAAATATCGTGTTAGACGAAAATTTCCTTTACCACGTACAATATGGGATGGTGAAGAAACAAGTTATTGTTTTAAAGAAAAATCACGTAATATTTTACGTGATTGGTATTTACATAATCCATATCCATCTCCAAGAGAAAAACGTGAATTAGCTGAAGCAACTACATTAACAACAACACAAGTATCAAATTGGTTTAAAAATCGACGACAACGTGATCGAGCATCAGAAACAAATGATAGGTTGGATTTTTTTTGTTTTTTTTATGAAATGATTTAGTTTATATTAAGGTTTTCTTTTTTTTTCTTTCATTTTAAGAAAAACAGGTGATATGAGTCCTTCACATAATGATGATAATTCATTAGATGATCTCGGATCAACAGGTAGTGAACCAACAACAAAAGGTTTTCAACTTGATTATAATAATCAACAATATCATTATCATCATCATCATCATCATCATATGAAACCAACAACAACAGATATTATTGATTCTGGAGGAATTTTTAAAGATTATCATTCACTTTAAAATACATTTTTTTTTCTTTCTTTCTTTCTTTTTGTCTTTGTATTTTGAATGGGATCAGATAAAACAAAACAAAAAAAAAAAACATAATACGAAAATGACTAATCGTTTTTTCTTTTGTTTAGCACGATATGTAAATATTTAATTTCTAAGTGCTTTGTGTATATACAAACTTGAAATATGAGATGTGCCTTTCGTGTTAAAGGACGAATTGCGTGATGATGACTCGAAATCGGATCTAATCGATGAGAGCGAGAAAAAGAGAAAAAAAAAAAAAAGAAAGAAAGAAAGCATACATAGCGTTTTGTTTTGTTATTCTTGGAATGAGACAGAGTAACTATCGATAGGGCTTCAAACATCGATTACTGAATGTAACGATTGATAGAAGTTTATCTTTCAGTTATGCTTACGTCATATTGCAATCCCTGTTGAGTATCAAATTTCTTTCTCTTGTCAATCAAGAAAAAAAAATATTATTATGAAAACGTCTTTACTTTAAATATTTTTTTTTTTGTTGTTGTTGATGATGAAATCTGTATTTTTGGATTAATAGTTTATTTCAAATGAAATAATTCATTTTATATCTTATTTGAGACTTTCATTGATTAGAAAAGTAACACTTATTTAATTTGTCTTGACAAAAAAAAAAAAAAGAAAAAGAAATCAATGATATCCCTTGAAGAAGTGAATTAACAGAAAGAATAAAGATATTCATGCTGAGTAACTCACACCTTTCTATTTTTGATCTATGATAGTTGATCTCTGTAATATAAAAAGATAACACATCTATATATAATATATGTATATCATGGTCAAATATCATAAAAAGGAATACATTAGAATGGAATGTTCTATTGTTGCTTGTTCACAAACATTTTAATCCTATTGACTACATCGATGTGCTTCTGTCGGTAATGATCAAAGTATAACTTTCTTGTAGTTTTGTTTAACTAACTGATGATGAAGTACTACTTCTTCCTCTTGTGTATTTTGTTGATAATGATAATAACTGATTAAATTTTAAAAGAAAACATAATACCGTTTTTTTTTGTTTTTGTTTTATATTCTTCTTGAGAAATAGATTATTTCACACCTATATTTAGGTGTTCATATGAATAAAATAAGGATAAGTCAATATTTACATATTGGAAAGCTCAAGCTAACTAATCAATTATCAATTATGAATAGAGAAAAAAAAAAGTTTTTTCTTTTTTTTTTTCTCGTCTTGATCCATTCTCAATCAATATATTGACATATCGATCAACGAAAAGACAATCATTGTATTTGGTTCACTATCATCAGTTGATCAGATCAATTTCCTGTTAACACCTACATATGGCTCTTAGTTTAAGTATTGTATATACATATTTAGACAGGACACTTTACTTCTATTTGAATAAAACAATAGAGATTAATGTTTAAAAATAAAAATAGAGATGATGATTGAGAATTCATATTATAAAATAGAGTTTTTTTTTGTACGAAGGAATTAGACTCGTTTGATACAGGTAACGAAGATCACTTATGTCGTTTGCATTTTTATTATGTTAAAGACATGGATATACAAAAAAAAATTGAATACTATTATAAGTACAAATATAAATGACTTAATCGTTCAAATTTTCACGTCTTAATCCATTAAATTGGTATTCATGGTTTCAAATACAATATATCATTCATAGAATATAACTCATAATTAAAGTATTCGACAAGTTGAAAATCCAATACTATCTAACTTAATCGATTAACTTTTATTTGCAATTAGAATATATAGCCGCTAATAAAAGATCATATGAAAAACATATGGTGAATCTCAGATTACGAAAAAAAAAAAGGAAATCTAACAATAGTATGCCTACCGGCTCCATCTTTGTATGTTTGTTTACAAGAAAAAACAGTTTCATTGTATTCAATAGGTTTCTATTAAAAGCTTTCTTCTTTTATCAATGTTTTATCTTTAGAAACAAAAAAAGATTTTATCAATTTTGTATTAATACATTTTAATTTATAATTTTCATACTCAATTTAATATGTTTTCATGTATAAAACATTAAATTTCTATATTAAGATAAATATTTATTTCAATTCCATTGAATTTAGATTTATAGCATTTGATTATTACCAATAGAATATTAACGAATGATTGATACTATTTGCATCATTTAGATTCTAATAATGTTCATTTGTCAAAAAATATATATATGAAAGATTAACAATATCTTATTTCTTTTGTATTTAATATTAAACTATAGAAATTTTTCATAATTTAAACACAATAAATTCTTTCTAGAACTAAAATTTGCAATTTCACAATATAAATAATAATTCTACAAATATCATTGTAAATGTGAACATGCTTTTTTTCTTTTTTTTTTGATGCAAGGTTAAAAATAAACCATGAAAGAAGTCTATAGCATTATTATTGAGCATATATATCTTGATGAAAAAGATGATAATTATATTGCGTTGAAGGGTGGAGTAAAAAAAAAAAGGGAGTAAATGACAGATGCATTAACTCTTCATTATCTTTACCAGACATACTATATATGTGTTGAAGTTTTTTATTGATTTAATTTATTATCTGAAAAAAATGATGATGATGATATTATCGATATCATCAAAATTGGATAGAAGTATATATATATATATCATTGTAATTTTTATTATGTTTTAATATAGAAGTGAAGACGCAAAAAAAAAGATATTTCAGATTATAGTCTTAAAAGGATAACGGAAATTGTTTTGCTTCGTCAGTGACAAAGGGAAACTTTTTTTCTTTCTTCTTTTTTTTAATGTCGTCATCTCCGTTCACGTCGACAGTAAAATAATCTTGACATCTTCTTATGTTTCTTGTTTTTTTTTTTTTTTTTTTTATTCATCTATTTATTATATAAAAGATCTTCTCTTTGAATGCAGAAAAAAATACTGCGCAAAAATGTTTGTTCGCATTATTCTTTAGTCATCTTTTTTTCTTTCTTGCAGTTCGATATAAACGTTAGCATTAAAGCATGGCAAGTTAGAAGAAAAAGAAAGAAATTTTTTTTCTTTTTTTTTTTGTTTAACATAAGAAATTCATTTCCATAATATTTAATAAAAGAAAAAAATAAACATTCTTCTTATTATTTATTCTTTTGAAATTAAATCAAATTATGGCGTTTACAAATTTATTTCGACGTCATTCCGTTTTTAATGAAACTCAAGGAGCTAATTATGTTTGTATGGATGAAAATTCTATTGCTGAAACATTATTCGATGAACTTGAAACACAATGTCAAAATATTTCAACTTCATTATCATCAAAAACAAAACGTAATTCAGAAGTATTAGAACATTCAGGTGGTTTACTTGCATCAACATATAATTCATGTTTAAAACGACGTTCATCAGTTGATTATTCATGGTTAACACCACAAAATAATCTTTTACAAACACAAACTGAATTATATCATTTATCAGATATAATAAAAATGGAATTAGGTGAATTAATACGTAATGTAACACCAAATGATTGTACACTTGTTGTTAATCAATTTCGTCGAAATATACGTTCACAATCAAAAGTTACAACACCTGAAACTATTATTGCTATATTTCGTAAAACATTAGCTGATTATATTGATCAAAAACAAAAAACACGTTCAAGTTCAAATGAAATATCAAAAATTAATGAAGGAAATAATTCAATATCAACAGCACATACATCATTATTACGAAATAATCGTATTTTACCGAAATTTCAATCTGAAGATGAACAACATTCAATTGCTGAATTAGGTGAAATTTCATTAACATCACCACAACATGATTCAAATGATGTAAAACCTCGTTCAAACACTTGCACTTAAAAAGAAACTACTACTATATATATATGTATATTGTATTATTTCTGCATTTACCTAGATAGCTAATGGATATTGATGTTATTAAAAAAAAACAAAAAAAAAAAAGAAGTTCCTCTGTTGTTGTCTGTGTGTAATCTTTTTAGATGTCGAAACCATGAACTTTTATGCATTGATATAAAAAATTTTTTTCTAAAAACAAAGCTATTTATGGTAGTAAAAATTAGAGATATATTTACACCAGAAATACTATTATCGGAATACTAAGTTGAACAATTTTTAGAAAGCTAAAAATTGCCATTGTCTTCATTCATGATGTTGCCTCGAAACAAGATTGAATATCTTCATAAAAACTTCTGGATATGTGTTTAATGACAATATCGTTAATTCTATACTTGAACAATCAAAGTGTAAAAAAAGAAAAATTGCTCGTTATATGATAATTGAGCATATAACGGATATTATTAGCATCTCAAATATATCATTATGAAAATATATTTTTAGAAACTAGTTAGAGATTGCAATAACACTTGATAATGTATTTCATTTTATATTTTATACATTGTTGATTATCCATGTTTAAATATCCACAAAAATAATATCAACATAGTTTATTTAGTACAAACAATTCTGAAATAATATCTTTTGCAAAACTTTTTAATCATTAATAAAAACAAGAAAATTTCTTAGTTTGTTTCAAAAAAAAATGGCTTCTAATATCATAGATCAACAGTAATTATTAGGAATTGTTATGACTAAACATGATTAGATTCAATAAAATGATTTGAAAACTTTAGTATTTTAAAGTAAATTTCAAAGCTTATTCTCATCTAGGTTCTAGTTTTCTATATTATCCTAGTAATTAAATGATATACAAAATATGATGTAACTCGTCTTGAGCTCTAAGACTTTAGAACATGTCACATCTTCAAATGCGTGACAAATCTTTTATAATTGAATCTTTAATGAGGATAATTTTAATTCAATTTGAAAACTATAATGTCTTCCCTATATTAATTGACTTCTATTATGAAAATTAAAATTTTGAAAGAATCATTAATTCACTAAAGACGATGATGATAGTCTCCGAATAAATTCTCGTCTGTTCTATTAGTTAGAATTTATAGACATTTATCAATTCAAAATCTAGTAAAGAGTATTATATTTATCATTGACTAACATTTTGAAGCCTATGAATGATCATAAAAATATCTAATTCATATACTTAGTAATAAATAAAATTATCAATAAAAAGTTGCTAATTATAGAATTCGCCTCAGTCTTATCATAAAACATTCATAAAAAGTCAATGTCATACAACGTTAAGAATATTAATAATTTTCGAAGGCATTTCTTCTATTAATATTATCACTCACTGTATACAGAAGATAATGAATAATTCTCTCCAAGTATTTGAATATTAAATCTACGAGATAAAAGCTTTGAGAAATATTATAGTACTTGATTTATATATAAATATTATTTGAAATATTCATCGTTAATTATTTATAGAGATTGGATATATTTTTTTGTTAAAGTTGATGAAATTATTGAAATATACTTTAGAAAAATGAAACAATCAAGTTAGATATTCAATATCATATAATATGAAGAAATTATTTTCTATTATTTTTTTAACTTCCACTAAAATCAAATGATTAACTTTCCCATATTTTGCAAAGCACTAGCTTCATATTGATCATAGCAGCAGTATGACTTTTCACAAAGCTCTCATTCGAGAACATAATAAGATACGTGCTTCCGACACAACTATTCTAAAAACTCATTTTGAATTGATAAACATACGATTTTTTTTAAAATAGTTATACAACATGAGAATGACTTTAATGGATTTTTTTCTTATTGTGTCCCCATTATTTTCGCAAGTCTCAAAAACAATAGAATCAATTGTCATGGGACGATTTAAAGAAGACAAATATCAATGTAACAATCGCAATAAAATTTTCACAATATACTTAATTGATACAAAACGTGAAGAGCTATGATTTAATCTATTTTAAAGTTTCTTTTTTTTTCAGAATATTTTGATCTTTATTCAATGGAGAAAATCATCAAAAGCATTCGAATTGTCTTCTATAAATCATTTAGGAGAAAAGTGAGACAAATTCTGTGAATACAAAGACACATAAAAAAAAAACTGAAAATAAAAATTATGTCATCCTTTTTGTAATACTTATTAGTGTCAGCTTTAACAGATTATTAATTATACGTGTATGATGACAACAAGAAAAGAAATGAAACTAATAGTTAATAATTAGTCTTAAATTCTTTAAGAGATTATGCATCAATTTATATATATATATAATGACTATAATTATTTTATTTTTTAATTATTTTGATTAACTTCATCAATCCAATTGATCGATTCTTTGTTAAAAATATTTTATATATTTTAATATTGCACATGTATGACCTTGTACTTTCTATAGAATTTATGCAACGTAAACAGCTGAACAAGGATTCATATTGTACGGATTTCGAACTTTATTACAAGTTTTCTGACACCTACTACAATTACTTCAAATCTATTAGGACAATTCAACTATCTACTTTCATCTAAAATATAAACTATTTGTGAGAAAAGCATAGAAGTTTTTTTGTTCAGTATCATAACAACGATGCTGATATAGAATATGCAAAATAAAGGTTTTTCGAATCCAATAAAAAAAAAATCAATTCGCTCAAGTGTTATTCCATAATAAATATAAAAAGTGATTGATTTTATTTTTTTAGAAAGAATAATCTTTGTTTCTTAAAAACAAATCTTGTTTTACTTCTAACAAAAATTATAAAGAGTTGAAATCAAAAAATAAAGATAAATAAGATGAAGACGCGAATCGAAGTGAAACTATGACCAATTCAATCATATATCAACAAGTAAATAGAATACGATTAACGATCAAAATGTTGTTTTATTTTTTTTCTTTTTAATATACCGAAATTTCTCTATGCGATAACGAGAAACTTTTTATCTTTGTATATTATGATTTCAAAATTTTTCTTTATCCTCACCTTAATATTAACTATTTATAGTAACCGTTTACAACAATTGTAAACAATGACTTACTGTTAACTACTAGTATTTCAATACAGCAATTGTAAACACTGCTTTGATAATATCATAAGATACCGTATACATCTACTGTAAAAAGTTTGATGAACTATCAAAGTTTTTTTTCTTTTTTATCATACTCCGTCGTATTCGTGTTGCATTGAGAAAATCGTTTCGGATTAATATTTCTTAAATGTAAAAAAAAGTGATGACCTGTGTATCAAAAAACGTTTCGAAAATTGACTTTGATTAATATTTCATAGATTTACTAACAATAACTAAAATTTCATCAATATTTTTCTATATTTTTATCGTATTGTATTTTCACACTATTCAATATAGAGTAATAACACATAATCACTGTCAAATACGACAAAAAAAAAATGGTTTCAACAAACCTTGATACAATATCATTATGATTTCCGTGATGACAGCAATACATCATCAACAGTTATAATCGTTTTTATATATTTTATTCAAAAAAAAAAAACATAAGTGAAGTGTCACACAAGTAAAAAATGAACAGAAACAGAGAAGCTATGCAAATTCCACTTTTTCATTGATAGAATTGATTTTATCTATAATTGTTTTGCAAAATGTTCTAAAATATTCATGGAACAAAAATGGAATGATTTTTAAAAAAAAAATCATCGGTAAACCTACTGTATCGATTTACTACAAACAAATCATGAAGTATCTCAATTCATTTTCTTTCTGCAAAAAATTTGCTTTACATTATTTTCTTCATGCTTATTGTTTAAAATAGCTACACTGATATGAAAATCGTATGTTCATCATTTTGAAAGTTTAAAAAGAAAACTATTAGATAGAATTTTTCATTGATACTATTGTATTTTTCTTACCAAAATTTCTCTTCTATTTTTCGTCAGATCAAAACACTATCAAAAGATAGTACTTGAAATTCTGCTGAAAGTTGTATACTTGGTTTATCAAATATAGTCTCTTCCATATTTTGAAATCAAATTTAATTGTACAGAATGCAAATTTTTTCCTTTTTTTTTTTGACATAATATTGACATTGTATTGTTGATTATTTTTTAGGCACGAACAAATTTTTCTTATTGAAAATCGTTCGCCTGAAGCACGAGCAATTTATGCGGAGTCATTACCAGCTTTCATCAAGTAACAAAAATAGAGAAGCAATTTTATAAGTATTAAGAGTGCATTTATTTATTGACTAGCTGTTGTCTTGCACACGTTATTTTGTTTTATATACAAAATGATTATTTTTATTGTCAAAATCCTAAGAATACTTACTTTCTTAAAATATTGACTGAATTCTGTTTTAAATCTCTTTATTATTATTTTGATATATGCCGTTTTTCTTTTTATCAAACTCGAATAATAAGTTTCTTTTTATGATTGTAGGTGACTCAAATTTGACCTTGAATAAAAGTTTAAAGAAATATAGAAAACTCAAGCAAATAACTTGAATTATTGAAGAGCTTATTCAAATTTTATTTTTTTTTTTATCTCGACAGACTTTTAAAACATTGTGTACGTGACATGTTATTTACACTTTTTTATTATTTGTGATTCATCCATAAACGATCTATTACAAAATGTAGGAAATATGAAAGAATTTATGATAGTTTTGCAATGTTGAATATACTTAGGGCAAACCAAAAGTTAGTAGAACGGTTTTAAAGAACCTATATGAGGTTGTAGCCCGTCAAAAACTCTGCAAAATCGTATGTGAGAAAAAATATTTTACAAATACTTTCGACTAATTCCAAGGACCACAATATTCAGTAACCTATCATACTTAGGTAATGATGTGAGTATGGGTGCGTAGTTGTCTATCAGTAAATTAACTCTAGTTCCTTCAAAGTCTTATGAAAACAGGATTTATTATATACCATTCGACGCGCCTCAAAAAGCTCTACAACATGGTATATTTGGTTTTTCATTT